AACTCAACACATCCCGCTAACATTCAATGCAAGACAGTAATTCCATTCCATTCCACAAAGTTGCCCGCAGCGTCATTCAATCACGGCGCAACAGTCGCTCCAAACAAACTTGAGTTCAACATAGACTCCAGTAATATCCACTTCAATACAGTCGCCCCAACATACACCACTCAATTTGTTGATCCATTGCAGTTGCCACTAACTTAGTTCCATTCAACCAAGTTGCTCGCAACACTAGTTGCGACTCGTCGTTGTGGAGGACGATTTAGATCCAACGCAGTGACCGCCGCAACATTGCTCCGATCTCTGCATTATTCAAGTTGCATCCAGCGTAGAGTTGCCACCTGCCCCGGTTTGACCTGGGACAGTCCGCGATCTCGCGTGCGCGTTCGGGCAGACAGGGATTACTTTGCACCGATATCTGGTGGCAACGTGGTGTTGAGCTTTTTCTCTCCCCCTCCCCCCCATTGGATGCTGCAGGACACCGATACACGTGGCCCGGTCTTGTCTGTGGGAGAGGTGGCGACTCTACACCTCACACGGACGCAGTGTACAAATTCACCAGCTCGCCTGTCTCCCTTCAACGCAGTTGGCCGCCACAACATTGCCCCGGTTCAACAAATCGCCCCGGGGCAAAAATCCCGTTCAACAAATCGCTCCCCATTCACAAACCCAACCCGCGCCATTCAACACCGCGCCGCACAGCACCCACGTCAACTCAACGCAGTCGCCACGCAATCATTTCAAATCATTGCGGTCAACAGTTGCCCCGGCCGGAATTCAGTTGCCCCGCGCGAATCGCCGCCACCACCGTGAGGTTCCATTCACAGTTGACGGCTCGGGTCGCTCTCTCACTGTGTCTCAGCCTCACTGTTTCTGTTGCGTGGTGTGGTGTGTGTGTGTGTTGGTGTGTTGTGTGCGGTGTGTGTGGTGCGTGCATGGTGTGTGTGGTGTGTATGGTGTGTGTGTTGTGTGGTGTGTGTGTTGTGTTTTGTGTGTATGGTGTGTGTTGTGTGTGTGTGTGTGTGGTGTGTGTGTGTGTGTGGTGTGTGTGTGTTGTGTGTGTGGCGTGTGTTGTTGTATGCATGGTGTGTGTTGTGTATGGTGTGTGTGGTGTGTGTTGTGTGTATGGTGTGTGTGTGTTGTGTGTGTTGTGTGTGTGGTGTGTGTGTGTGGTGTGTGTGTGGTGTGTGTGTGTGGTGTGTGTGTGGTGTGTATGGTGTATGTGGTGTGTGTGTGTTGTGTGCATGGTGTGTGTTGTGTATGGTGTGTGTGTTGTGTGTGTGTGGTGTGGTGTGTGTTGTGTGTGTGTGTTGTGTGTATGGTGTGTGGTGTGTGTGTGGTGTGTATGGTGTGTGTGGTCTGTGTGATGTGTGCATGGTGTTGTGTGTGTATGGTATGTGTGGTGTATGGGGTGTGTGTGGTGTGTGTGTTGTGTGTATGGTGTGTGTGTGGTGTCTGTGTGGTGTGTATGTGGTGTGTGTGTTTGTTGTGTGGTGTGGTGTGCGTGGTGTGTGTCTGTGGTGTGTGTGGTGTGTAGGGTGTGTGTGTGGTGTGTGTGGTGTGTGTGTGCGGTGTGTGTGGTGTTGTGTGGTGTGTGTCTGTGGTGTGTGTGGTGTGTATGGTGTGTGTGTGTGGTGTGTGTGATGTGTGTGTGTGGTGTGTGTCGTGTGTGTGGTGGATATGGTGAGTATGTGGTGTTTGTGGTGTGTGGGGTGTGTGTGGTGTGTGTGTGTGTATGGTGTGTGTATGGTGTGTGTGTGGTGTCCGTGTTGTGTGTGTGGTGTGTGTGGGGTGTATGTGGTGTGTGTGTAGTGTGTGTGGTGTGTGTCTGTGGTGCATGTGGTTCGTGTGTGGTGTGTGTGTGGTGTGTGTGGTGTGCACGGCGTGTGTATGGTATGTGTGGTGTTTGTGGTGTGTGTGGTATGTGTGTGGTGTGTATGGTGTGTGTGGTGTGTGTTGTGTGTGGTGTGTGTGGTGTGTGTGTGTGTGCATGGTGTGTGGTGTGTGTGTTGTGTGTGGTGTGGTGGTGTGTGTTGTGTGCATGGTGTGTGGTGTGTGTGTGATGTGTGTTGTGTGTGTTGTGTGCATGGTGGTTTTGTGTGTATGGTAGTGTGGTGTGTGGTGTGTGTGGTGTGTATGGTGTGTGGTGGTGTGTGTGTGGTGTTGTGTGGTGTGTGTGGTGTGTGTGTGTGGTGTGTGTGGTGTGTTTGGTGTATGTGGTGTGTGTAGTGTGTGTGGTGTGTGTGGTGCATGTGGTGTGTGTGTGGTGTTTTTTTGTGTGTGTGTGTGTGTGTGTGTGTGTGTGTGGTGCGTGTGGTGTGGTGTGTGTGTGTGTATGGTGTGTGTTGTGTGTATGGTGTGTGTGTGGTGTCTGTGTGGTGTGTGTGGTGTGTGTGGTGTGTGTCTGTGGTGTGTTGTGTGTGTGTGTGTGTGTGTGGTGTGTGTGTGGTGTGTATGGTGTGTGTGTATGTTGTTTGTGTGGTGTGTGTGTGTTGTGTGTTTTGTGTGTATGGTGTGTGTTGTGTGTGTGTTGTGTGGTGTGTGTGTGTGAGTTGTGTGTGTGTGTGTGTGTGTTGTGTGTTGTGTGGTGTGTGTGTGAGTGATGTGTGTGTGTGTGTGTGTTGTGTGTGTGGCGTGTGTGTGTGTGTGTGTGATGTGTGTTGTGTGGTGTGTGTGAGTGGTGTGTGTGGTGTGTGATGTGTGTTGTGTGTGTGTGTGTGCATGGTGTGTTTGTGTGTATGGTATATGTGGTGTGTGTGGTGTGTATGGTGTGTGGTGTGGTGTGTGTGTGGTGTGTGTGGTGTTGTGTGGTGTGTATGGTATGTGTCTGTGGTGTGTGTGGGGTGTATGGTGTGTGTGGTGTGTGTGGTGCGTGTGGGGTGTTGTGTGTATGGTGTGTGTGTGGTGTGTGTGGTGTGTGTGTGTATGATGTGTGTGGTGTGTGTGGTTGTGTGTGGGGTGTGTGTGTGTGTGGTGTGTGTGGTGCATGTGGTGCGTGTGTGGTGTTGTGGTGTGTATGGTGTGTGTGGTGTTTGTGGTGTGTGGTGTGTATGGTTTGTGTGTGTGGTGTATTCATACAGGGTGGCCCAAAGGTCAGGACGCATAAGGTTATTAAACAATATTTACTTTAACGCATCACAAAGGGTAGATATCGTTTATTTTAACAAGTGCTAAAAATTTACTTCCATCGTTAAAATCAATGCATGATGCTTGGATTCCGACAAAAAAATTAAAAGGAAGACCTCACAGAGAGATGTGTTTTGACGACGGCATCACGAGAGATTGGTGGCCAGCAAAGATATGGCCCCTACTCGAGACACGTGGCAGAAGCAACGTGGAGACAACGTGATGAGATGATGATGCGTGCGTGATTTTTATTTATTTTTGAAATGAATTCAGGAGTGTTAAAAAAAACCCGACACATTCATCAATTATGTTTGGTCTCAGTTCTTGGTGGAGTGTTTGTTGTTGTTTAAATATCATCCGAGAAGAATAAACATATGTGAATAATCGCAATAGCTAACATTAACTTGAAGAATAACATAATGAAAGTATTTTAACGCGAGTGTTAAAGTTAATGAAGTGACCCAAATTCGTCCGTATATGTATTTGGGGCCACGCTGTAGACAGGCGAGCGCCTCTGCATGGCTGTGTGCGTGTCGAGAGAAAGCGGCAGGGCGCCTCGAGCCGCACACGCAGGTTGGAGTTCCTGGTCCCTGTGGCAGATCAGAGTCTGAGTCCACCCTCGACACCAACGCCCCACCTCCCCTCTCCCAGACTGACCCCGTGCCCCCCACCGAATCTCCCCCTCCCCCAGACTGATCCTGGGGGGGGGGGAGTGGGGGGTTGCAGGATAAGGAGGACTCGGACTCGATCGAAGACCGAGTGCAATGGAATTGACCCACCACGTGTTCGCTATGCCGCACGTGGCCTGGCGAACTCTGTGTTGTCAGTATATCCGCCTGTGTGTTGTGAGTTTGTGTGTTGTGAGTCTATGTTGTGAGTCTGTCTGTGTGTTGTGAGTCTGTCTGTGTGTTGCGAGGCTGTGTGTTGTGAGTATATGTTGTGAGTCTGTCTGTGTGTTGTGAGTCTGTGTGTGTGAGTCTGTCTCTGTGTTGTGAGTCTGTCTGTGTGTTGTGAGTCTGTGTGTGTGTTGTGAGTTTGTGTGTTGTGAGTCTGTCTGTGTGTTGTGAGTCTGTCTGTGTGTTGTGAGTTTGTGTGTTGTGAGTCTGTCTGTGTGTCGTGAGTCTGTGTTGTGAGTCTGTGTGTTGTGAGTCTGTCTGTGTGTTGTGAGTCTGTGTGTTGTGAGTCTGTGTTGTGAGTCTGTGTGTTGTGAGTCTGTGTGTTGTGAGTCTGTGTGTTGTGAGTTTGTGTGTTGTGAGTCTGTCTGTGTGTTGTGAGTCTGTGCGTTGTGAGTCTGTGTGTTGTGAGTCTGTGTGTTGTGAGTCTGTGTGTTGTGAGTCTGTGTGTTGTGAGTCTGTGTGTTGTGAGTCTGTGTGTTGTGAGTCTGTGTTGTGAGTCTGTCTGTGTGTTGTGAGTCTTTGTGTATGCTGTGAGTCTGTCTGTGTGTTGTGAGTCTGTGTGTTGTGAGTCTGTGTTGTGAGTCTGTCTGTGTGTTGTGAGTCTTTGTGTGTGCTGTGAGTCTGTGTGTTGTGAGTCTGTGTGTTGTGAGTCTGTGTGTTGTGAGTCTGTGTTGTGAGTCTGTCTGTGTGTTGTGAGTCTTTGTGTATGCTGTGAGTCTGTCTGTGTGTTGTGAGTCTGTGTGTTGTGAGTCTGTGTTGTGAGTCTGTCTGTGTGTTGTGAGTCTTTGTGTGTGCTGTGAGTCTGTCTGTGTGTTGTGAGTCTGAGTGTTGTGAGTCTGTGTGTTGTGAGTCTATCGGCGCGTTGAGAGCAGTGGGAGTTGTGTGCTCGCCGTTCCCTGGCGTGTGTATGTGTGTACGCGTTCGTGTGTACGTGCGTGTGTATGTGTGTACGCACGTTAGTTTATATATACACACCGCAAACTGGAAGCATATAGGTCACCATGTAAGAGTTCAGGATTATTCAGATGACCCATCCGACGAAGTGGCAGGCCTGCGTAAGTCACACGGACAAAAAAACCCAATAACAAACTATGCGACAATTGCGTTAAATAAGTCGTCTCACTTGATCAGGGACCGCGTAATGGATTAGTCAGAGATATTGAGTTCAACGTGCGCATTTGTTATAACACGCGCGCGTGTGTGTGTGTTAGTACAGCCGTGTGTGTGTATGTAGTACGCCTGCGTGTGCGCTATAACGGGTGTGTGTGTAGTATAACACGCGTGTGTTAAAGCGGGTACGTGTAAGAAAACGCGGTATAACACGCGTGTTAGAACACGTGTGTATGTGTGTGTTAGAACACGTGTGTATGTGTGTGTTAGAACACGTGTGCATGTGCGTGCTAGAACACGTGTGTATGTGTTTGCGTGTCATAACACGTGTGTGTTAAACAAACACGCGTGCGTGTGTGTGTGTATGGCTTACATCGCGCTCACACGAACACTTTATATAGAATACGGTCCTCAAAATAATCGCCCCGACAATGCCTGATCACGGAAATGATTCGTGATCTTGATCATGGCTGTAATCGCGATCACGGCCACGATTTTGATCGTGACCGCGGTCGTAATCGTGATCACGATCTGCGCTCACAGCGAAATCAGGGAATGACTTCGCTTACAATGGCACACGCGCTGCGTTTGGCTGTGTCGGAGCGAGCGAGCGAGGTGTGTGCAACGAGCTCCCCCCCCCCCCCCCGAAGGACCAGGACACGCAAGAGATTAGTCGATTAATCGATTGTTAAATCGATTTCTCGCCGTCGATCGGGGCTCCGTTCGTTCGCAATCACTGAAGCGGTTTCAGACGGCGCCGAGCGCTCATTCCTGGGAAGTATTCGTCAATCCAATTAAAATATAGCGGATTCTCAGTTTAACACTTAGTAGGCTATCGCGGCCAATATTATTCATAATAAAGGTTTTTGGGTTAGATCGCGTTATTTATAAATGTGTCGTAACCCTCCACCACCCGACACGGCCAATCAGCAAAATAAAGTGTCACGTTGACAAAAGACAATTAGTTCACTACTTTAGCCCGCCGGTGTGTTGAAGAGTGAATCTACAACATTTACAGTTTGAATACGACGTTTCGCTGGCAATTACATCCAGCATCATCGGGCAATTCGCCATAATGGTAAAGCCCTCGCTGATCTCGGTCTTAAATAGAGCAGCAGGGTGACGTCATCATTTAACTCATTTCAGGTGCAGTGATTTGATCATAACCATTGACTGATTACCAATCGATTATATAATTACAATACCCCCCCTCCGCCTCAAATGACGTCACCCTGCTGCTCTATTTAAGACCGGGAGAAAGTGAGGGCTTTACCATTCTGGCGAATTGCCCGATGATGCTGGATGTAATTACCAGCGAAACGTCGTATTCAAACTGTAAATGTTGTGGATTCACTCTTCAACACACCGGTGGGCTAAAGTAGTGAACTAATTGTCTTTTGTCAACGTGACACTTTTTTTGCTGATTGGCCGTGTCGGGTGGTGGAGGGTTACGACACATAAATAACGCGATCTAACCCAAAAACCTTTATTATGAATAGTGGATTCTACAGATTCGCATCGCGTATACAACGACGAATATCAATAACAAGTGTGACGAGTTATGATGCGTTGTGCACTATAAAGTTTTGCATCCAGCGAGGTACCAACCCATCGATTAAAGGGAGGGTCCTTCTCCATGAACACATGCCACGTTCGCCAGCATTGATTCAAGCTGAACGTGTGTGCTCCTAGGAGGAAGGCTGCGTGGCCAATGGGATGCGTGGAATAAAATAATAATTGTGCATCTGCAGAGATAGATATTGTCTGGTTATATATTAATTGTTACACGCTATGAGAACCTCCTTGAAATGCACAGCTTCATATCCTTACAAATCCTATGCAGATTTAAATCCGTACATATTCACTGCAGCTTCACGTCCCTACAGATTCCCTGCAGCTTTAAATCCCTACAGATTTCACTGCAGCTTCACATACATACAGATTTCACTGCAGCTTCACATACATACAGATTTCACTGCAGCTTCACAACCCTACAGATTTCACTGCAGCTTCACATCCCTACAGATTTCACTGCAGCTTCACATCCCTACAGATTTCACTGCAGCTTCACATCCCTACAGATTTCACTGCAGCTTCACAACCCTACAGATTTCACTGCAGCTTCACATCGCTACAGATTTCACTGCAGCTTCACATCGCTACAGATTTCACTGCAGCTTCACATCGCTACAGATTTCACTGCAGCTTCACTTCGCTACAGATTTCAATGCAGCTTCACATCCCTACAGATTTCACTGCAGCTTCACATCGCTACAGATTTCACTGCAGCTTCACTTCGCTACAGATTTCAATGCAGCTTCACATCCCTACAGATTTCACTGCAGCTTCACAACCCTACAGATTTCACTGCAGCTTCACATCCCTACAGATTTCACTGCAGCTTCACATCGCTACAGATTTTACTGCAGCTTCACATCCCTACAGATTTCACTGCAGATTCACATACATACAGATGCAATGCATTGACGTCACAATGGGAATCTGTAGAATCACTCCGATATCCGATTATGATCGCTCTGGATTCAATATATTCGATCTAGAATCCACGATATGTTCACCGGGTGCAAGCAAAGAATCGATTGTTGATTCAAACCGGCCTCGTTCTCGAGACGATTAATCTAATTGAGGGGGAGGGTGGAACTCGTGGCGTGTCTGGATTAGGGGGGGGGGGGGGTAGGGGGCAGAAGTACGATTATTCCTTTGATACAAAAATTCCCGACGCGATTCGCTATCGATTATAATAAATAAATAATACATAAATATACACATTAGTGGATACTCTGTACCGATTCAGTGCCCATACAAATCGTGTAAATGTGCAAACAGCATCGCCGCGCTGCACTGCCGCGTCTCCCGATATCAAAAAGCACGGCCCAGTGGCGCCCCCCCCCGCTCGCCCCCCTGCACCCCCCCGCCACCGCACAGGGAATGGCTTCTGGGGGGGGGGGGGTGCGCGTGGACGAGCGGTGGCGCAGCGGTTAGTGCCGCTGCGCTACGAACCCCGGCGCAGAAGCGAGGTCGATTCCCGCTCATGGCCAACACGATTTTCTTAACCGTTCCTGGGCCTCCCCTAGGTTAACTCGACCTCAAATGAGCACGCGGTGCGGTGGTGTAAACATCGCCACTGGGGAGACAAAGGCGGCCGGGTGTGGTGCTGGCCACCCACCCGCTCGTGATCCGTGCCGGCCTTCGTAGGTGCTCGCAAACAACACTTGCCCCAAACGTCTGTTAAGGCTATACGGGGGAGATCTTTGTCTTTGTGTGTGCGTGCGGGTGTGTGTTTGAGAGTGTGTGTGTGTGTGTGTGCGTGCACACTCATAGACAAGGTGCACGCACCTAGCCTGGCACAAACGCCGTGGTTACTTCACAATGGCTGTTGTGTGGGTGTGTGCGTGTAGTGGGTAGAGGTGTCAAGATCGGCCTCTGTGGAGGAGGCTCGTGAATGATGCTACTGGGCAGTTGGAGGCAGTCGCCCTCCAACAACAACGGAGGGCAGAGGAGCAACGCTCACAACGAGCGGAGCGCCGGGCGGATTAAATACAGCGAGTTAGCACAGTAGGGGGCACGGCTGGTGCATCTGTCAGTCATCTCAGTCAGCCAACCCATGGCACCTGCTGGGTCTTTCCCGTGACCTCCTCCTGCCAGCGAGCCTTCGACACTCCACGTGGCCTCAAAGTGAACCTAGCCTGGCACAGGCACCGTGGAAACGTCACCGTCACTTAGCGGCGAATGGCAGCTGTTGGTATTGGTGGTGGGGAGCGTGTGGTGCAGTGGTTGGCGCAGTGAGGGGTCAATGTGAGTGGCTACTGCCTCCTCTACACAGCAGCGAGCCGTGATGTATAAAATTATGAGCAGGACTCGGAGGGATGGACGGGAGGGGGTTTGGGGGTGGAGGGGAGGGGATGGGGTTGAGGGGGTTGGGGGGTGGAGGGGAGGGGATTGGGGGGTGGATGTGATCGATATGTTTTAATTATTTTAAGGAAGATATCAGAATCATCGTCTCGAGCGTTAAGAGGAGTGTGTGTGTGAGTCTATGTGTGTGTCTTGGCAGCTGCAGTGCAGCGGTGAGTGCGCCGCGTCTGCAACCCCCGCCGGTCCCGAGTTCGATTCCCACTCACGGCCAACACCGGTGACGATTATCTGAGCCGGGTCTGGGCCTTCCCTAGGCCCACTCAGCCTCAAATGAGTACCTGGTGTAGTGTGTAGTAAACAACGCTACTAAGGAAGCAAAGCACAAAGGCGGCCGGGCGTGGGGTTGGCCCCACATCCCATCGTGTGCCGTGGTGCTCTCTAACAGCACTCGCCCCAACTGTTTGTTAAGCCTAGACGGGGATCTTAACGCGTCTACGTGTGTCTGTGTGTGTGTCTAATGGGAGGCTGATCGATGCCCGGGTGCGGTCAAGGGATGGCTCCCTATTGCTCAACCACGTTATGTATGCCGATGATTTGATAATAGCTGTTCATTCAGAGGAGGAGTTGGAGACGCTGCTGCTGAGACTGGAGCGTGCCACTAAGAGATGGGGCCTTACCATCAGCCCCACCAAAACTAAGCACCTGCCTGGGTATTTTGTACCATCGGACACTCCACCCCCACAACTCCCAATCGGTGATGGGGCAGGTGTGGAGAGGGTGGAGAGTTTCCCATACCTGGGCAGTGTGCTTATGACCTGCTCCGTGTGCTTATGACCTGCTCCAGTTTAACAGCAGAGGTCTCACTCCGAATCAGTCGAGCGGCAATATCTTTTCATCGGTTGCGTAACGCTGTGTGGAAGCTACCTGGTCTGTCGCTCCGCACTAAGCTTAAGGTCTTCTCGGCCACGGTCATTCCCTCCCTTCTCTACGCTTGCGAAATGTGGACCCCCCTAATAGAACATCTTCGCCGGTTAGAAACATTTAGGCTAGCCTGCCTACGATCCATGCTGGGTTTAACCAGGTTGGATTGTGTGAGGGGCTCACAAATCCTTGAAAGATCTGGGCAAGGTCCCATCGGTGAGCTCCTCCGGCAGGCAAGGCTGCGTTGGCTGGGTCATGTAGCCCGCATGCCCAGCCACCGCATGCCTAAACAGCTTTTGTTCGGCCGGATCGAGGGGCTAGACGGGCGCGGCACGGGCTAGAGAAGAGATGCAGTGATGTGGTACAGGAGGGCGTGGAGCTGAGTGGACTTGCCGATGACTGGTACTAGCGGTGTCAAGATCGGTCTCTGTGGAGGAGGCTCGTGAAGGACGCTACTGGGCAGTTGGAGGCAGTCGCCCTCCAACAGCAACGGAGGGCGGAGAAGCGACGCACACAACAACGAGCGGAGCGCCGGGTGGCTAAAGCACAGCAGGTTGGCACAGTAGGGGGCACAGGTGGTGCATCAGCCAGTCATCTCAGTCATCTCAGTCAGTCAACCCGTGGCACTTGGGTCTGCCCCGTGACCTCCTGCCAGCGGGCGTTCGACACTTCACGTGGCCTCAAGGTGCACATGGCCTGGCACAAGCGTCGTGGTGACTTCACTGCCACTTAGTGGCGAATGGCGGTTGTTGTTGTTGTTGTTATTGTGTCTATGTGTGTGTGTGTCTCTATGTGTGTATGTATGTGTGCGTTGATGCGACAGTGGATCGCGCACTGCGCTTCGATCCCGGCCGACTATCGGTTCCCCGCCCCCGATTCACGCGAGTTTTTTGTTACATTTTTTTAAGCGAGCAATCTGAACTAATTCTGGACCTCCGCCGGGTGTCGATTGAGCCTTGAATTCGTTGTGCGTGTAAACATCATCGCTGGGGAGACAAAGGCGGCCGTGCGTGGTTGCCATCTTCGTCCCCTTTAATTTATTCCCGTGTAACGGCTCTGGCCCCAACCGTCTGTATGGCTGCACGGGGTTCCACGTGCGCGCCAAGTCTATCTGCCATGCGCCCGCGTGCCAAGTGTCCACGTTGATACATCGGTCCAGATGGGGCCGTCGCAGGGTCCACGACCGCCTTCAGGAGACCGCAACTCAGCACCGCGGCTCCTGGCTGTGCGCGCCTCGCCGAGTCGTTCACAGTTGGGGCCGGGGGGGGAGGAGGAGGTGGCGGGGGGGGGGGTGATGACTGCTCTAGCCACGCCTGACTTGCGTGCCGTCACCACACATCGCTATCGCTCCCCGCAAGATTTTCGCGGCTTGTTGCGTGAAGCCTCCGGGCTGAAGTCGTTTCCCCCGGCCACGCGCTCCGCGTCTGCCGTGTCTCTCAGAGGCTGCTCCTGCAGCCTCCTTGGCACCACTGTGAGAATGTGGCCCTCCCACCCCTCGCTTGCTCCGTGTGGGTGTGGGGGGGGGGATACGGGGGGGGGGATGGCCCCCTTCACGGGCCCTTCCCCACGGTCCCCATCATCACCGCTCTATGGCTTGAGTCTCCTGCTGTGTCGCAACGTTCACGTGTCTTCCAAACATGGCGGGGGGGGGCTCTCTGAGGCCATCGGCCCGCACCTCTTCATCCCGATGTTGCCCTGTCACGTGCGCCGCTCCCCAACGCGCGAGTTGCTTTCGCCGATCCGCTCGACGGAACGTTCCCAGAGAAGCCCTCTCCGCGAATTGTCCACGTCCACGTCTCGCGCGCGCGGCCGTCGCTATCTTCCAGTCGCCTTCGTCAAGTCCGGCTCTCGGCCCACTGCTGACACACCTCCCCCCTCCCGCCTCCGAAGTGGAATTTTCCAGCGAAACCACCGCACCACCCCCCACCCCCCCCTGCTGAGACACGGTCCTTCGATGTCCTCTCCACGATCTCCCCCAACACTTCGCAACCACTCGCCGCCTCGTCGCGGCCACCGACACGCAGCCTGCCACGCTGTCGCTCACCGCCCTCAACCCGCGACGCACCGCGAGGCGGCGGCGAACCCCCGCCAGCTCGCCGTCGCGTCGGCAGCCTCGGTGACTTGGCAGGGGTGGCACCCGGCACCTGGAAACTGGCACCCTGCACCTGGCACCCTGCACCTGGCACCCTGCACCTGGCACCCGGCACCCTGCACCCGGGTACGAGGAGACTGGCACACAAAACGCTCGCAAGGAACCGCTGCAGCTCTGTCGTCAGAGGACAGCATCGGAAGGTGACGTCACAAAGAAAAACTTGTGACGTCACTACTCGCCTCCTCCTCCTCTCGTCTGCGCTGCTCTGAGTGGCAATGGGTTCGACTCCCGCCACCATCAACGCACAATACGAGAAGAGGACGAGGCGTTATCACGGGCAGCGGCTGAAACGCGGATTCAAACCCAGGCTCTCAGTGGTGCCGGCTCACTGCCTCCAACATGGCCATTAATGTCCCCGCACCCCGACACCAGCCAGTAGTGGAGAGTGGACCCCCCCCCCCGCCTCCCCATCCACTCCGCCCCCCATATCCACACCCCCCTGCTCCCTATCTACACCCCCCCCTCCCCCAGTCTTCCCACCCCTACCACCTCTATCTTTGCTTGACAAGTGACCACCATCATCATCACCACCACCACCACCATCATCATCACCACCATCATGATCACCACCACCACCATCATCATCACCACCATCATCATCACCACCACCACCACCATCATCATCACCACCATCATGATCACCACCACCACCACCATCATCATCACCATCATCATCACCACCACCATCATCACCACCGCCATCATCATCGCCACGATTCCCCAGTCCACCCAGGAAAGCTTCACTGAGTCTCAAGACTCGTTTTGTTGTGTCAGGAGGGGTCCTGCCACGTTTTCGCAGGAGTAAGTGGGCGATGCTGCTGCTGCCACTGCTGCAGTGCGCGATCCCAAGTGCGTGTGTGTGATGTTGAACTTCTTTCGACCGTGATAATCGGGGGTGTGGGCGGGGCGGCAACAGACTAAACGCACACGAGAGCGGTTCTACAGCAGTGAGTTTTCAACTCGAAGTGAGTGGCTGGCAGGGAGTTTCTCTGACACTGGACATGCTTGGCAAAGACCATCAGCTCCACTGCCGCATGTCAATCTCGGTGGTGGTGGTGATGATGATGGACATTTTCTGAGATTTTTTTGAAGTGTTGTTGGCTCGCGTGATTCTGTCTGCGTCACTGCTTATGGACACACCGTGTTACCGGTGACAGTGTTGTGTTACCGGTGACAGTGCTGTGTTACCGGTGACAGTGCTGTGTTACCGGTGATAGTGCTGTGTTAACGGTGATAGTGCTGTGTTACCGGTAATAGTGCTGTGTTACCGGTGATAGTGCTGTGTTACCGGTGACAGTGTTGTGTTAAAGGTGACAGTGTTGTGTTACCGGTGACAGTGTTGTGTTAAAGGTGATAGTGTTGTGTTAAAGGTGATATTGCTGTGTTACCGGTGACAGTGTTGTGTTAAAGGTGACAGTGTTGTGTTAAAGGTGAAAGTGCTGTGTTAACGGTGACAGTGTTGTGTTAACGGTGACAGTGTTGTGTTAAAGGTGACAGTGTTGTGTTACAGGTGACAGTGTTGTGTTAACGGTGATAGTGTTGTGTTAAAGGTGATAGTGCTGTGTTAACGGTGACAGTGTTGTGTTAACGGTGACAGTGTTGTGTTAACGGTGATAGTGCTTTGTTAACGGTGACAGTACAATATCAATCCGGCGATCACCAAATGCGATCGGTCTCAGAGCCTTGAGCCAGCGTGGGAAATTCCACATTCCCATGACGGGCTCCGTCCGGCACGATTTCACTCAAAGGGGGGGGGGGGTGGCGGTGAGACCCCCACAAAGGGGGTCCTCACAGGGAACTATGGGAGCCCGTGCGGGCTCAAGGGGGTGTGGGCAGTCTCTGGGAGGAGTGCAGGGGCGCTTTGAGGGTTAAGGTCTAGGGGGGGTCCGTGTATCTCGCTGGGTCTAGGGGGGGGGTCCGTGTATCTCGCTGGGGTCTAGGGGGGGGGGGGGGGTCCGTGTAACTTGCTGAGGTCTAGGTGGGTCCGTGTATCTCGCTGGGGTCTAGGGGGGGGGGGGTCCGTGTAACTTGCTGAGGTCTAGGTGGGTCCGTGTATCTCGCTGGGGTCTAGGGGGGGTCCCGTACCCCACCCCGTGGCCCCTCACACGGCCGTCATTCTGCAGAGGGAGGCAGAGCGCGTGCTGGGGGAGCAGCTGGCGGTGGAGTTCCACCTACGGGGGGGGGGGGGAAGAGGGGGGAAGGGGACGGGGGGGGGCGAGAGGGGAGATGGGGGAAGGGGAGATGGGGGAGGGGGGAGGGGAGATGGGAGAGGGAAGAAGTTGGAGAGGGGAGGAAGGGAGGGGCGAGGGGGGGGATTGGGGTGGGGATAGACAAGCGAAGGGGAGGGAGAGGCCAGACAAAGAGGGGTGAGGGAGACGTGAGAGGCCGTGGAGGGGGTCGAGGGGAGGGGTGGACGAAGGTGTAAGCGGGAGGACGCCAGGAGACAGCGGGAAGAGGGATCAGCAGCACGTCATTAATCAATCACTGATGAGACGCGGCGCAGTATCCACGGATAGAACACGCGGCCCAGCTATGCAAATCAGCTTCACAAATATACACATTGCATCGCGCAGAGAGCAATTACTGATGAATTAATAAAGTAATGAGCGGAGCGTTTCGGTAATAATGATTACCTCATTAACCCATCACCTACCAACCAACACACCAACCAACACACCACCCACCCTAGAAAGCACAGTGATCACCGTGCCAACCACCACACCAAACCATTCATCAACCACACCAACCACCACATAATCCAGCACACCAACCATCACACCACTCCAACCACCACACCACACCAACCACCACACCGCACCAACCACCACACCACACCAACCACAACACCACTCCAACCACCACACCAACCACCAACCACACCAACCACCACACCACTCCAACCACCACACCACCCCAACCACCATACCACTCCAACCACCAGAACCAACCACACACCAATCCACCACCACACCAACCATCACCCACTCCAAACCACACCACTCCAACCACCACACCACCCCAATCACCACACACCCAACCACACACACTCCAACCACCACACCACACAACCACCACACCGCCCAACCACCACACCGCACCAACCACCACACACTCCAACCACCACACCACACCAACCACACCACCGCACAACCACCACACGCACCAACCACCATACCACTCCAACCACCACACCAACCACCACACCAACCACCAACCACTCCAACCACCACGTAACTCCAAACACCACACCACACCAACCACCACAGCAACTACCGCACTATCCACCAAAGATACAATAAAAAGATCCTCCGTATATGCTTAATTGAGTGTTGGGGTGACCGATACCACGACCGACTGCCTTTGTCCCCCAGTGGCGATGTTTACTACACACCGCACAAGGTACTCACTTGAGGCTGAGTCGACCTAGGGGAGGTCCAGGACAGGTTCAGATAATCGTCACCAGTGTTGGCCGTGAGCAGGAATCAAACTCGGGTGGCCGGGTTCGTAGCGCAGCGTAGCGCTAACCGCTACACCACCGCTCCCCGCACTCCCACCGCACCACCCACATTGTCACGGCGCCTGTGCCAGGCTAGGTACACTTTAAAGGCCAGGTAAAGTGTCGAAGGCTCGTGGCAGGCGGTCACGGGACACACCCAGGTGCCGTGGGTTCACTGCCTGAGATGATTGGAAGGTTGCACCCACTGTGCTCTCCGTTTAGATTATTGAGATAATTTTTCTCCTACGAATTTGCAAGTATTGAGCCACTTTGTTGACCTATCATTTGTGGCCAGGTCGCTTGCGAAAAATAACTCAATACCTCAGTGGGCTTTATCTTGTAAGATCGTTGTTTTTGTCTTCTTTATTGTTGTAACGTTCTGCAACCGTGGCCCCTATGGACATCTGTGAAAAAGAGCTTCATAGCTTATCGGATTCCTCCTCCAGGATGAATACAGATTCACCTCCGCGCTACTGACGTGGACGGATCTCCGTCTCGGAGCTCCGCCTCGTGCCTCGTGGCATAGTAACTGCATTATCAGTGGTATAGTAACGATACTATCAGTGGCATAGTAACTACACTATCAGTGGTGTAGTAACGACATTATCAGTGGCATAGTAACTACATTATCAGTGGTGTAGTAACGACATTATCAGTGGTGTAGTAACGGCATTATCAGTGGTATAGTTACATTATCAGTGGTGTAGTAACTACATTATCAGTAGCATAGTAACTACATTATCAGTGGCATAGTAACTACATTATCAGTAGCATAGCACTACATTACCAGTGGTGTAGTAACTACATTATCAGTGGCATAGTAACTACATTATCAGTGGTGTAGTAACTACATTATCAGTGGCATAGTAACTACATTATCAGTGGTGTAGTAACTATATTCAGTGGTGTAGTAACTACAATATCATTGACATAGTAACTAGATTATCAGTGGTGTAGTAACTACATTATCAGTAGTGTAGTAACTACATTATCAGTGGTGTAGTGACTACATTATCAGTGGTCTAGTAACTACATTATCAGTAGTATAGTAACTATATTATCAGTGGCATAGTAACTACATTATCAGTGGTGTAATAACTACATTATCAGTGGTGTAGTAACTACATTATCAGTGGTGTAGTGACTACATCATTAGTGGCGTAGTAACTACATTATCAGTGGTGTAGTGACTACATTATCAGTGGTGCAGTAACTACATCAGTGGGGTAGTGACTACATTATCAGTGGTGTAGTAACTACATTATCAGTGGCATAGTAACTACATTATCAGTGGCATAGTAACTACATTATCAGTGGTGTAGTGACTACATTATCAGTGGTGCAGTAACTACATTATCAGTGGTGTAGTAACTACATTATCAGTGGCATAGTAACTACACTATCAGAGGCGTAGTAACTACATTATCAGTGGCGTAGTAACTACATTATCAGTGGCGTAGTAACAACATTATCAGGGGCGTAGTAACTACATTATCAGTGGCGTAGTAACTACATTATCAGTGACGTAGTAACTACATTATCAGTGGTGTAGTAACTACATTATCAGTGGCATAGTAACGACATTATCAGTGGTGTAGTAACGACATTATCAGTGCCGTAGTAACAACATTATCAGGGGCGTAGTAACTACATTATTAGTGGTGTAGTAACTAAATTATCAGTGACATAGTAACTACATTATCAGTGGTGTAGTAAGGACATTATCAGTGGCGTAGTAACAACATTGTCAGGGGCGTAGTAACTATATTATCAGTGGTGTAGTAACGACATTTTCAGTGGTGTAGTAACGACATTATCAGTGGCGTAGTAACAACATTATCAGGGGCGTAGTAACTACATTATCAGTTGTGTAGTAATAACATTATCAGGGGCGTAGTAACTACATTATCAGTGGTCTAGTAACTACATTCACAGTAGTATAGTAAGTACATTATCAGTGGCATAGTAACTACATTATCAGTGGTGTAATAATCTACATTATCAGTGGTGTAGTAACTACATTATCAGTGGTGTAGTGACTACATTATTAGTGGCGTAGTAACTACATTATCAGTGGTGTAGTGACTACATTATCAGTGGTGTAGTAACTACATCAGTGGGGTAGTGACTACATTATCAGTGGTGTAGTGACTACATTATCAGTGGTGTAGTAACTACATCAGTGGGGTAGTGACTACATTATCCGTGGTGTAGTAACTACATTATCAGTGGCATAGTAACTACATTATCAGTGGCATAGTAACTACATTATGAGTGGTGTAGTGACTACATTATCAGTGGTGCAGTAACTACATTATCAGTGGTGTAGTAACTACATTATCAGTGGCTTAGTAACTACACTATCAGAGGCGTAGTAACTACATTATCAGTCGTGTAGTAACTACATTATCAGTGACGTAGTAACTACATTATCAGTGGCGTAGTAACGACATTATCAGGGGCGTAGTAACTACATTATCAGTGGCGTAGTAACTACATTATCAGTGACGTAGTAACTACATTATCAGTGGTGTAGTAACTACATTATCAGTGGCATAGTAACGACATTATCAGTGGTGTAGTAACGACATTATCAGTGGCATAGTAACTACATTATCAGTGGTGTAGTAACAACATTATCAGGGGCGTAGTAACTGCATTATCAGTGGTGCAGTAACTACATTATCAGTGACATAGTAACGCCATTATCAGTGGTGTAGTAAGGACATTATCAGTGGCGTAGTAACAACATTGTCAGGGGCGTAGTAACTACATTATCAGTGGTGTAGTAAGATCATTATCAGTGGTGTAGTGATCACGTTATCAGTGGCATAGTAACTACATTATCAGTGGTGTAGTAAGATCATTATCAGTGGTGTAGTGACCACGTTATCAGTGGCATAGTAACTACATTATCAGTGGTGTAGTAACTACATTATCAGTGGTGTAGTAACTACATTATCAGTGGCGTAGTAACTACATTATCAGTGGTGTAGTAAGAACATTATCAGTGGTGTAGTGACTACATTATCAGTGGCGTAGTTACTACATTATCAGTGGTGTATGAACTACATTATCAGTGGCATAGTAACGACATTATCAGTGGTGTAGTAACGACATTACCAGTGGCATGGCAACTACATTATCATTGACGTAGTAACTACATTAACAGTGGTGTACTAACTACATTATCAGTGGCGTAGTAACTTCATTATTAGTGGCGTTGTGACTACATTATCAGTGGCATAGTAATGACATTACCAGTGACGTAGTAACTACATTATCAGTGGTATAGTAACTATATTATCAGTGACGTAGTAACTACATTATCAGTGGCGTAGTAACTTCATTATCATTGGCATAGTAACTATATTATCAGTGACCTAGTAACTATATTATCAGTGAAGTAGTAACTACATTATCAGTGGCGTAGTAACTACATTATCAGTGGCGTCGTAACAACATTATCGGGGCGTAGTAACTACATTATCAGTGGCGTAGTAAATACATTATCAGTGGACATAGTAACTACATTATCAGTGGTGTAGTAACGACATTATCAGTGGTGTAGTAACGACATTATCGGTGTGTAGTAACAACATTATCAGGGGCGTAGTAACTACATTATCAGTGGCGTAGTAACAACATTATCAGTGGCATAGTAACTACATTATC